GCTCAGATTCTCTGTAAACCAGAAGAACTGCATATGAGATTGAAGAGGCTTCATATGCCTACATTTGAACCTGGGAGTAAAAAACAAAGGCTGGATTCTCTTTGGCATGTAAGATGACATGCTGTGTTAACTATCAGCTTCAGAAAACACTGAGCACAGGGCAAAAAACAGGCACTGAGTCTTTAAAAGAAGTATTTCACTATTCTTCAAATCCATCTCAGTATTCCAAGGAATACCCCATCTCTTTATGGCTGTTTCTACCCTTCCTCTCCCCCACTAACCCTCACTGCTGGCCCATGCAGTCCCCACAGCCCAAGGCTCCCCAGGTGGCCACCACCAAGAAGCTTGAAGGGGTCCTGTAGGACCATGCAGCAGGACAGGCATGGGAGCCACAGCTGCAGCCTCCCATGGGAATGGGTTTTTGGTTTCTCTGCTCTAGATGTCTCCGTGAAGACCTCATGACCTGTGTGAAGTAATTCAAGATCTGTTGGTGAGAGAGAAATAAATCAGCTACCTCATACACCCTGCAGGGTGGGAAACTGCACCTTGGCAGAGTAATTTGACAGAGACAAGTAAGTTTGGATAGGCAAGACCAGCAAGTAACCATAAGAGAGTTTTGAAAAGCCACATGAACTGCTTGTGCCTCCGGTCAGTTTTGTGCCTACTCGGCAGCGTGTGGGATTGTTTCCTGCCACAAGCCTCAGGGTAAACAGCTTTCCCTCAGGTGCCTCGATTTCTGCATCTGTCCCACAGGTACCCAGGGGTGGCTTTGCAAAGCATCATCAACTCTTCTGATGAGGAATGCTGCAAAGGAATACTTAAAAGAAAAAAAAAAAAGAAAAGGTTGGGTTTTTCGGTTTTGGGTTTTTTGTTTTGTTTTGGTTTGTTTGTTTTTGTTTGGTCTTTTTTTGTTAAGGGAAGGCACAGCAAGAAAACACACATAAAAAAAGATTAAGTATTGTTGAAATGTATTGACTTCAGCTGCAGGGTTATTCACATTATAAAGGATTCTTCATTAGGTGGAGCTTTGCTGCTTGCAGACAAGGCTTCTGGAAAGGGCTCCTCCATAGCCAGCTCCTAGCTGCTGTTCTGCACTGCACCAGGCCGAGCAAACACAGAACCACCGCTATCAACAAGTGGCCAATCTCGCTCCCATTGTAGCCAGGTAATGAGGGTGAAAGGAAGCCTGAAGCAGAACAAACTCTAATGACCCACGGGTCTGTTAATTTTCTTTCCTCCTCATTTCTCTCTTTTAATGGACAGTGAGTTTGAGGCCAACACTTGTGGGGAACTCGGGATGTGGAGAATATTTTCAAAACCTATACAAAGGCTAGGCATATAGAGAGACTCCAGAATGGGAGATGTTTCAGAAAGAAAAGCAAAAGATGCAGGATTTTGGCAGGGGTCATGGTGACTGGGAGTAGAACGTAGGTGGGAGAAGAGAGAGATTGTTAGGAAATGGGAGGTTGCAGTATCAAGCTGGAAGGTTGCCACAGTGTGGACTAATGCTTTGGCATCTGCAAACAAAAGGAAGGAGCAATGTAAGAAGTAACATGAAGAAAATTTCTCAAGAGATATCTGGAAGTATCACGACCTGTGAGGAAACAGAAGAGGCAAAGATAATGCTAAGTTTGGCAGAGGGAGGATGGCGATGGTTCTGACAAGGAAAAGAGTGGGAAGGAAACAAGTTCTGGATAGAAAGATGTGGAAAAATAAGGCTTTGTTTCTCTCAATCAGAAATACATCTCAATGCTATCTCAGAAAAACAGAGATCAATTATCAGATTTTCTTCTTCTGTTTTTTTCTTTTGTTTTTTTAAATAGGGCTGGCTGCATAAATTAGGAAGTCTCCTTCACTCCATGTCCACCTTCACCATGTCCTTGTTGTGCCCTTGTCCAAAAGAACTGAACCTCAAAGAGAACTGCTCATCCTTGCGTTTGTCTAAGGTACAGAAACCTGCAAATGGTCCTGTAGGACAATCTGCCTGTTTCCCCTGCATTAATTAAAATGCAAACATGTATTAGTTAGGATCTCTGTCTGGGCTCTGATCCTGCAATCTATTAAATCCACTCATCTGCAAAAGCACAGCCAGATTTTTAGCTGCTATAATCAATACACTGGGGCCAAGTCCTTTAAGTCACCTGTCCACCTGTAAAATTCCCACAATACTAACCATTCAAACATTGCAGACAAAATATAAGATGGGAAATAATTTGGGATATTTTTGAAAAATTAATTTTGTTGCACTGTATTCAAAGTCCAGTGCTTCCTTACAACTGTTCTCAAAGACAGTAATAAGACCACAATGATTATGTCAAATTGTTGTTGTTATTACTATCCCTTGCTGTTCATGTACTGTAACACTAATGATTCTTTATACCTGCCTGTATCAGGACACCAAGCAGAACAAATTTGACTATGAATATTTTTGCTGTGTTGTTTTCAGTTAAAATATTTATGATGTGTTGTTTGGGTTTTTTTTCTTCCCAACACTGTGATTATTATTTGTAAAGGGCATATATATATATATATATATATATATATATATATTGCACAGAAAATGAAATCTCTCTATGCTGTCACTATATTTTCTGCAGCAGACAAACTATAGAGCATATATATATATTTCTGTCTCCCCTTATTCTTTTAAGTTTCTTTGAAACAGGGTGCCCAGTGCTGCTGATGCTGGAATTACTGTTAGTATCAGCCCTGGTGATAAACTCTAGCTAGTGTTTTGGTTAGAGGTCACTTGTAATTAGTAGTCATTGTCCTTTGAATTTAACAATGGAAAAATAAAACTTTATAGCGACAGATTAGCCTGGCCATCAAAATTACAGCACTTTAGCACTCAGGAGAGAGGATTGCATGACACACTATCTCCCCGTCTGATAACAGCAGATAGCTAAGAATTCAAATGCCAGATGCAGAAAGCCTGTAGAAGAATAAAAGGAGAGAAAGGAAGATTAACTGCCCAGATGTTATGTGATATATTATATTGACACTTCTACACTCCTGTTTTAGTGAGCTGGGCCTCATCTTGTACCCACTGAAGTGAAGATGGGGCACTACTGCCAGTTTCTGTGAGAGCAGCTTTCAAATCCAAGGTGCTATTTCATCCCCACCTTCTGCAGATACTTTGCACGCGTGTGCATGACTCTTAGTGAAATACTAATTCTCAACTTCTTCACAAAGTTGTGCAGTTGACAGCTTTATGCATATTTGTTTCAGTTGCTGCAGGTAAATAAAAGCCATCTCCACCTCGTATGAATTTACAAATACTGACACGGACTCGATGCATCCATCGGGAAATCTCCCGGTTTGCATATATCATAGGGATACGATAAGGATTTGTGATAAAATACACTTGACCCTTATTCCAGGCATTTTTGCAGAATTACTGTTTATCAGCTTTTGTGCAAGTTAACAAAGTGAAGAAGAAAATGTTTCTAATTCCAACACAAAGGCCAGACGAGAATGGGAACTACTGCCAAACCCAGTAAATACAACACATCCTTCTTGATACAACTGACTTTAAATGTATTTTTGGGCATGTTTATTTTAGCTACTAAGTCAAATTAACTCAATATTTAAAAAACCAAAAAACAAACCACAAACATCCCCAGCCTCTGCTTTAAAATCTAACAGGAAGCAAAGATGAACCAGCCAGACACTGGTACTTATCAAATCTGAAAGAAGGGAGTTGTCTGGCTGGATTAAAACGGATGAGGTTTGTTTGAGTGATGACATTTGTCCTACCGTTGCTGAGGTGAAGAATTTTGCAGCACTTTCTTCATCTTATGCTCCTGAAGATGGGAAGATTACTCCTACCACACAAATACTTGCAGATATAGAGAGACACATTTCTGCACATCGGAGATGCTGAAGAGTACTGAAACTTGCATTATCTGCAGTGTCCTTCCCAAACCACTGCAAACTTGAATACATTCCCAAGCCGTGCACATAATTTCCCACTTCTGCCAAGGGAGAGCTCCTTCACTAAATAGTTGACCATTCTGAGCTGAAATATTTCTTTCACTAATTTATAAGATGCAAGTAATTAACAGCAGGCATGTGTGTCTCTGAGTGTGCACGTGTCCGTGTGTGTGTCATTTATTTTTATTCCCACTAATGCCTCCTTTAAAGCAGACCTGGCGACCGTCAAATAAATTTACCCATAAAGTTGAACTAGGAAAACACAAAGTTACCAAACAATATCCGAATTGTTACCAACGAGCCCAACTCCGAATTGCCCCCCTCTAAGAGCTGCCTGGGCACGGAGATAAAATCACGGTGATTTATAATTTGCCATATCGAGGGCTATTGTTTTTGGAAATGTTGGTTACTTGCTAACATGTAACGTTCTAACTTCGGAGCCAAAAGACAAGAAGCCAATCAGAGTCACCGCTCGTAGCTGGAATAAAAACCCTAAATCGCAGCAATTCTGCTCCGTTGTGCCCGGGAGCTTGTCCAGGAGCGGGATTTCTTGAACAGAAAATAACCTCTGAAAGGAAAAGTATTTCCAAACGTGTCATGTGGGGCTCTGTTGCTTCTTTTCTTTTTTTTTTTTTTTTTTCTTTTTTTTTCTTTTCCCCCCCTCTCCTACTTAAACGAGAAAGAAAGAAATCCTGACAGCGGGAAGACTTGTCAGCGTTTAGCCATCCATAAAAATGTTTTTCCCCGCGCTCCTCCTTTCGCTCGCCGTCCTGGCGTCGGTCTGTCTCATCTCGCTGCTCCGCGGCCCCAGCCCCCGCCCGCACAGCGCCCCAGCCCAGCGGGGCCGGGGCCGCCAGCCGGGGAACACCGGCCCGGGGCGCCGCCGCTCCCGCCCCGCCGGCCGCACGGGGGGATGCCGCGCCCGCCGCCGCCCCGCCACCGCTCGGGGAAGGATGCGGGACAGCCCCGGCGCGAAGTTTGGGGCGGGTGCGGCGGCACTGTCCCCCGTGCCCTCTGCTTCCCCCCTCCGCCCTTGCCGGGACGCGGCCGGGAGCCCCGGCTCTTACCTGCCACGGGCTGGGGTCTCGGCGCGCCGCGGGCGGGAGCGGGGCTGCAGCTGCGCGGCGGCGGGGCCAGGGCGCAGCGGCAGCGGCAGCGGCAGCAGCAGCCCCGGCCGGCGTCAGTCAGGCGGGAGCCGCCAGGCTGTATTAGTGCGCCGGGCTGGACCGCGGCCAGCAGCGCCGCGGCCGCTGGCCCCCCCGGCCGCGCCGCCCCCGCCGCGCTCGCACACGCTCACACACACACACACACACACACACACACACAGCATCGCTCATACACACACACAGCATCGTTTATACACACACAGCACCGTCGCTCACGCACACACACAGGATCACTCACACACACAGCATCGCTTATACACACACACAGAGGATCACTCACAGGCACACAGGATCACTCACACGCACACACACAGCATCTCTCACACACACAGGATCGCTCACACACGCAGGATCGCTCACACGCACACAGGATCGCTCACACGCACACACCCAGCAACGCTCACACACACAGGATCACTCACACACAGGATCGCTCACACACACACACACACACACACACACACACACACACACACACACACAGCATCGCTCATACACGCTCACACACACGATCGCATACACGCTCGCACCGCTCACACACACGCACATCCGCACAGATACAGATACACACGCACACGCTCAAGCACACACGGGCACTGTCGCGCTCACGAACACACGCCCACGGTGAGTTGCACTCACACACTCACCCCATGCACCTCCCCGCACCCACCGCACGCCGCCCCGCGCCGGGCTCACCCCTCCGCACACGTCGAGTTCTGCCCCTTCGGCACACGGGCTCTCGGTGACAGAGCTCACCCCCAGGCACAGGCACACACGAACCACCCCCGCGGAACCCGCCCTTCACACCCCCTCCCCCGCCGCCGCTGGCCCCCAGCCCCGCGCCCCTCGGGAGCGCAGCCGCCTCGGGAGCCGCCGCTCCGCCGGCCCGGGCTGCGGGCCCCCCGGGAGGGGCTGTCCCGATCCCTGCCCTGCCCCGGGCCGTGCGGGGCCGGCGAGGCGCTTGTGTGTGACCGCGGGGCCGCGCCGGGACAGGGCCTTCGCCCAGTGCCCCCGCAGCCGGCCGTTCCCCGGGGTCCTTCTCGGCAGCCTCCCAGCCCCCGAGGATGGACACAGTGGCCAAACATGGGCCAACCTCAACCCCGTCCTGCGCTGCTACGAGTGCTGCTGACCCGGCTTTTGGGCACAGGGGACAATCACCGGCTGCGCGCAAAGACTTGGAATCAACATCGTCCCTGTGGGACGGCTGGACGGCACAGCTGCGACGGGTTTGGGGATCAGTCTGCGCCTTCCCACGCCGGGCTGTGCAGGGGTCCCATCATTTGTCGGACTGCTCAGAGAACAGCAAACTGCAGCTGGCACTGATGAGCAGATGCACTTCCTGCTCCAGAGATTACCTATTAAACCCTCATATTCCCTAGAAGTAAGCGTCTCTAGCTATGTAGCGTATTGCATTAGCCGTAATAAGGAAGGGCTGAAAGAAAGGAAGTCAAGTGGCTTCAAGGACAGTAGACATAAAAGCTACTCATGAAATTTGGGCTCCAGGCAGCGCTAGGAACAGGCACTGTCTGAACCTGACCCTGGCTGCATTGAGGGGTTCCAGTTAAATTGCACTGTGCCTTTTGAGGTCAATCAATAAATATGATTAAAGATACCATCCTGCTGACATTTTCACCGAAATTTTTTACATTGTAAAACATGACAGCAAAGCTAATGTTGTTTGAGTAGACATCAAAAAGCCACAATGCAATTACAGCTCCGCAGCGCAGTTTTATCGAAGCATGTGTGCGTGAGGGCTTTGGTGCAATAGGGAGATACAATGTAATGCCCCAAAATATCTCTGTTTCCCGCTTTGGACTAAACCGTCTTTAAATTCCAGAGGTTCCCCCGCTTCTTGTCGGGCTTCTCCTACGGCAGACTTCTCGACAGATGAGTGGCAGAAGAAATGCTGTTAATTTAAAATCACTGTAAATATTAAGAAAGTGCCAAGTGCATGTTCTAACTCGGTGTGCTTTCAGATTTTATGTCCACAATGCTATTTATTTTTAACTGGAGACATCACACTGCAGATGTATGCACGAGCAGTTGTGGGGGGGTACGGGAGATGGGTCGGCAGAGGTGTGGTGTGTGGCTTACTGAGGCATAACCAAATCTTGCTGGGTCCCACTGCATCTCTTCCAAGTGTCGAAACCCCTGGTTTCTCGTGCGTCTGCTCACAGTTTCTGCTACCAAAAAAGGGGTGGCAGGACAAAGTGGGTCTTTAGATGGATTTTTACTCCTGCCACTCTGATGCACAGCCTGCTGTGCTATCTCCAGTCTGTCTTCATTGGTGGGGTACATTAAAATACCAGTACTGCTACTGGAGTAATCCCAACCAGCAGAGGGTGTGTGTGTGGGGGGGTGTGTAGCAGCAGAGCTGCTGTCTAGATTGAGCTGTCTGTTCCTAAAACTTTACTTTGATTGAAACTTCCATTTAAATAGGCATAAATAATTTTTGAAATTACTTAATTGCTTTCCTATTTGTGTGGTGGCAGTTTTAACTGTGCCATATTGAAAAAAAGTCTAGCTAACTGAGGTAACATGGGTATATATATAAATAGTTATATATATTTACTAGAGTTTGATATATTATAGATTATATAGCAGGCACCTTTTTTTTTTTTTTTTTTTTTTTTTTTTTGCGTGCAGTTGTATTTCAGATCATGTGGCATGCACACATATATGTTTTATTACAAGAGCAGCCTATATGCTGGCTTTGCCTCTGATCTGTTAAACCTTTGGAGCTATGCATCTCCTCAGGAGCACTGCTCGTATATCCTGCCTGTCCTTTCCACTCTCTCCACGCACACTTTCAGAGCCCAAATCCCGCAGCCCAAATCTTCTTCTGCACGGCTTTCAAAGCCAGTGTCCTCTTTGTGAGACTCTGCTCCTCCTGCCAGGGCGACTCATCACCTGTCACTCCTCTGCACTGCCCAGGCTCTGCTAATTCCATTTCTCATTTGCCATTTTATCTCTCCAGTGCCTCATTTCCTATCCTGCCCTTTGTAGAAGCTCTCCCTTACCCTGCACATGATGTAACTTCCCTTCTCAAATCCCCTCCTGTAAAACACGGACCAATATTCTTTACTGGTAAAGCAACACCCGATCTGAGTATTCTTATTATTTTGGTCTGTATTTTGTCTTTTTGTACAGAGTAACTCTGTAAAGAAAATCATCAGTATAAAGTTGCATAGAAAATAGTAAAGACTGGATGTAGCTGTAAAAGGGATGGAAGGGTACTAATGTCTTTTAGCACTGAAACTGTGTAAAACATAGAATAACATGAATTTTCCACTTGGAGGGAACTGCAAGTTCCTGAGAACTGTAAATAAACTGACTCTATACGTACTGCTCCAGGGCTCCAGTGAAGCAGTGGCACTGTCCACCACCGAACAAGGAGCAGCTGTAACAACAGCAGTGTCGTGAGCCGTGCAATGGAGATCCCTCAAGCAGCTCCAAGAGTGATGCTGAGGGCACTAGGAGACTCCTAGCCACGGTATCTTGGATTTACTGCGTGAGTTACATTTTCCTCAAGGGCTTCCTCCAGGCAAAGACACAGCAGGCACTTGCCTCTGGCAGCGGATTTTTGGGAACAGCAGCATAGTTGTGGTTCTGTTGCCCGCATTTCTTGTGCCAGAGCCCTGGAAAGTGAGGACTGTTCCTGTATTGCAGGGTGGAGTCAGACATGCGGGGTAGCAGTGCCAAGAAGCATCTGACTATTCGAGCAGCAGCAGTCACCTCTCACTTTCTCACTCTCTCACAAGCCCAAACCCTGCCAGGATGCCTAGATCCACATCTTTTACTCCCATTCCCAGGAGAAGGCTGGACCAGCCCCAACTCCTTACCCTCAGGTTTGTCTGTTTGATATTTAATGTGCTGTCTGGAAGCTTGGAGATCACCCTGCTTTTTATTCACAGGGAGTTTGGATATTTCAGTGTCCTAACAAAGGTCTGACAGTTTGGACACATCTGTGTCAGGCTTAAAAATAAACACTTGAACCATCAGGGAGCCATACTTCATACATCTTTTCCAGCACAAGCAGGATGAAACATTTGCTTTCACAAACATGTTTTGTGCTGCTCACACCAATTTCCTGCATGTTTGTGGTTTAAGATGCTAATTCTCAGAAGAAAAACAGGTGGAAAAAGCAGCTGCAATCTTGTGCACATGTTGGTGAACGCAGCATTGCAGAGACTGTGCTGGGCAGCTGGGTGGTCTGTTCTGTCACAGAAAAGGCATTTCAATTGCTCATCTCACTGCTCTTTGCTTCAGACTCTGAAAGTGAAGCTATAAACACAGAGCGGCAGAAGAAGGAGGTAGGCAGGCAGGTTTGGAGGTGTATTCCTAAAGGGAGAGAAGAAAGAAAGGGAATTAGCAGTAGAGTGGATGGAGTAACAAGGACCACTGGAGAAGACTGAAAAATAATAGTTCAGAAATACTGGGAGACACAGAGGTGAGCAGGCTGAGTGGCTTCGCATACTGCCTCCAGGATGGGGATTGTGTCCCTTTTGGGTCAGATGACTAGTAAGATCTGAAGTTTGTCATTTAGGTTCATGTCACTTCCATTCAGGATTGAAAGAGGTGTCAAGAAGTGAATGAGCACACTGTGGTATGGACAAATGAATTTACTCTCGGTACCTTTCAATTACCAGATGAAAAAGACTCTGCAAAATATTTGGACTGGCCAAGTTACTACAGTTTTCATAAGTGAAAAGGATAATTTCCTATCCACTACCATAACAAGATTTTTGTTAGTGTGCGTATGTAAGTATTGGCTAAAGTAACTGCACAAGAATGAAATCATATTTGTGATTAAATTGTTGAAGAAATTTGTCTTCATCTTATTACACCAAAGCTCCACAGGGTCCCTTGATTTTTTCCTTTCCTTTGATCCACATAAAATGACTTGGCTTTAATTCTCCAAAGCTTTTAGTACACTGAGATCCAGCTACCTGCCTTGTTATTCGTGCTGAGTTTGTTCTCTGCTGCCG